AGCCTACCTTGGCAGCCAAGGTAACCTACATTGGCACAAGCTTTGCTTTTGTACAGTACCCTGTGTATCGATGAAAGGCGGGGTAAGCTCAGATCTAGGTAGGAAGCTAACGTAGAGAAATTAGTGCAGGAAATATAACTCTGAAAAAATATGAAAAAGTAAACAATTTGTACTGCCAAACTAAAGTAACTTTTTTTTTTACATAAAAAAAGTAGAAGAATTATAATATTCAAATACATTATATATTTTACGTTTATTTAATTGTTAATTAATTTCAGCTACATTAAAATGTTCGTTACTATCTCTAACCGCTTTTGTCCCGTCCCACTCCTTGGAACGTAGAAAGACAGTTCCAAGAACAGACTCAACGATTTTTACAATTTTTACAAGTTTAACAACTTTTTATATTTAGGTTATTTCGTTTTATAAAATACGCTACTCCACACTTAAACTGTTCCAACACACGTATTCATATGTTTCGTACGATCATGATTGTACACTTGATCGTAAACGTGATTGTAACACTTGAAAGAACATTACGTGATTTATGTGATACAAAGACTTATTTTCAAATAAACTTATAGCATTGGAAGAATATTTTTGACGAAACACTAAAAAAAATGATACAAAAACTATGGAGAAAAAAGGGATTGTCATAGAGCACACAAAGGTTTTGAATTGAAAGAAAAAAACATGAAAATCAGCGAAAAGAGCGAGGGCATCCCAAAATTCTGAGAATACAACAGCAATCAGTTTGCCAAAAACCAAGGGACTTATCGCTTTTGAAAAGTGCTTTGATAAGGATAAGTTGGTTCGTCTGTTGCATGTCTGAAAAATCGATAAGCATATAATACAACTAGTTCTTAATAAGGAGTTTATCATTGATGAAAATTTCATTAAAAAATATCTTAGATGTTTGCCTGACGCTTTTTTAGCTGATGAATATGAATTAACGCTGTTCAAAAATTATCTCACTAAGGAGGCTCTCAACTTGTTGAAGAAAGCTGACGATGATAGAAAATTAGATCCAATTTACACTTGTAGTTATTGTGAATTCCAAATCTTCCCTGAAGAAAATTATATAAGATGCGATGTATGTGTAACATGGGTGCATTAATCATAGTTCGAAAACTAAAATAACAAAACAATTAAGAGAATCCATAGTGCCTTAGTTGTGCAAATTTTGAGATGAAAAACTTTAATATAAAACATTATTGTTAACCTCGTGTATTTGCATCTATCAATGCACTTGATTATGATCTTAGTTAGAAATTAATTAATAAGCATGAAGTTTAATTATAATTAGTAGTTTCAGATAAAAAAAATAAGCTCAAAATGTAGAGAAGAAGCACAACACTGAAGTCGTTCAGTAATTTAAATATATACGTATAGCATAACAAAATTAGATTAACCGAAATTAATAAAAACAAAAATTAAAAATACATAATATAAACAAAATAGGAAGATTACGTTTATGAATGAGATGGAGGCAAAATATTACCTTTAACCCACATACAATATTAAACTGAAAAGGAATAAAGATTGCAAAAACATAATAGAAAACAAAAAAGGACAATGAATTAATTTCAAGGTATTCTTTTTTGCAAAAAACGACTCGGTATTCAACTCCATGGGTACAATATATTTTTTTTTTCAGTAGAGTAAGATTATCTATATTAATAATTAAGACAAACGAATAATAATTAACCAAATATAATTATTTTGAAACTCCAAATAATCTAAAGTCAGTGTTCTTACATAACTACAAAAAAAAAATTACTACTCGATATATTGTATCTCTAAAACAACAATTACAACTTTTAATTAACGTGTCTACAAATTACACGTGACTGAATGCAAAATGCGTTTGTTTATGCACAAATACGGCTCTCGATAATTTTACGTTGACCGGAGCTTGACTAGCTTTCAATCCTAAAATGATGTGTCTGAAAGAATCACGTGACCGTTAGCATTACGTTTATCTATAAAAATATTCTTTTGATCATTTTACGTGGACTAGAGCTTAACATGCAACTCTGGATGTACTTATTTACGTGTTCGAAACATACGTAAAAGTACGCTAGGTGACTATCTCTGGCAAGGAGCATTCGCGCCACCACGTGGATTCAAGTTATGAGAAATATTGTGGTTTAAGAGAAACTTCAGGTGCTAATAGCGATGAAACTAATACAAATTATTATGATTTAAAGACAAAAGTAATGTTTATCAGGTTAAAAAAAATAAGCAGTTTAAAAAATTTATGGATGTTATTTAATCTTTAAGTTGTCATATATTGATTTGAACAATAACTCCAGGCTTTTTTTCTGTATTAAGACAGTTAAGGACGTTGTCTACTTTTGTTTTTTTTAATAGCTAACTACGTTATCGACGTCAAGTTGATGGCTGGCAACCTCACATATAAAATGTAATATGAATATTATCTACGTTCAAAGTTGTTTACTTCTGCTCTCAGCTAGCTAACCCACCTGAAAAAAAATGTCGGAATTCTATGTAGAATTTCTTCTGTAGAACTTTCAGGAAAGCCATATGGCATTACACATGGTTTTACATATGGCATTACATAAAGAGTTTTAGCTTGGTCATGCCATATGTAATTCCATATGGAAAAACACATGAAATTACTAATTGGAAAAAGAAAATATTTCTATCATCTAGAAATAACTGCAAAATACCATAATAAGTTATTTGCAGTTCACAATTAGTCTTACCATCGGGATGATAACTCCAAAACAAGGGGGTTCAGCTGATTTTACTTCTATATAAAAAAATTTTTATTTATTTTTTTTTTTTATTCCTGAAATATAACTTGAATTCCCTTGTTTTGGAGTTATCATCCTGATGGTAACACCAATAGTTCACAGTAAATGACGCATTACAGTATTCTGCAGTTATTTCTAGATGACAATTTTTTTTTCCTTCTTCCAATTTGTAATTCTATGTGTTTTTTCAAATGGAATTACATATGGCATCACCAAGCTAAAACCCTTTATGTAATGCCATACGTAAAACCATATGTAATGCCACAAGGCTTTCCTGAAAGTATTACAGAAGTAATCACACATGGAATTCCGTCTTTCTTTTTCAGGTGGGTAGCGTCTCGTGTACCTACATATTTGTACATACATGTGATGTGTCTGTGTTTTTACGTCTAAACAAAGATATCACTGGAAAGGTGGATATGTTCCAAAAAGTAGGTACTTCAGAGAATCAGACACACCCTTTGACTTTTTAAAAATACCGCTAAGTGACACTACAGCTCCGAGTACTAGCTTCTACTGGCTGTGGATGCAACTTTGGCACATGTTTTTGTTATGTAATTTTTTTATTTTGTTACAAATATTTCCGTAGTATCAATTATAGCAACAGTTGAAATAATTTTTTCTCACACTTCATTCTCTCTACACCTCGAATTTTGTTGTCCTGTGTGATTTCCATCACACTTTTTAATCGAAAATGTACAGCATGCATCATTGTCATCATGAACATTAACAAAAATTAAATAAAATAAGCAGATTTGGTATGTGTCGCTCGCTTATATCACCTAACTATTCAAACATCTTGTCGACTGGTGGCGTTGTCAACGGTAGTCACCTAGCGTATAAGCTTTACCTTATGTACGTGACGGTCTCAGCGTTGATACGTGTATGTGTATCATAGGTATGCCCTAACCATACTTCGACGTATATTTTAGTTTTACGTGAATAGAAAGCTGAAGTTTTGGTTATGCTTCCAACTTCGATTATTTATGTGGCTGTACAGTATTACAGTCTGCGAATCGTACGTGAATGTAAGTAATTCTTACGCGAACATTTTTAACCCTATATTCACGTTACTTTTACGTAATTACGTGAATGTTGCGTGAACAAGGGCATTCAGTACATCGGCCGGAGTTTCTACTTTACTCTATTGTGAGAAATTATGGTTAACAACAACTTATTATCTGGCTGTGTCAATCCAAAATGAGGAGAAGAGCCCCCAAGCTGGAACTTTGAGGAATCTATCAAGACCAAATTCAATGCAATCCGGTGCAAATTGAGAGAGAGAAAGTTACATCTCCTGATCATGTCAGTGTGCATAATCTGAAATGTAACTTTTTTCAAAAAAGTAATGCATTGAATTATCTGAAATTTTGATAGAGAATCTAAAATAAAAAAATAAACGCCGGTCTTATCATGGTTTTTGAAAATATACAGTTCAAATTATGAACTTACTTAACATATGGAGATTTATAGGTTATGTAATGCCGTTTACGATAAATATCAATTTTTCTAAACTCAACAACTGCAAATCTACGAGAAGAGCCGTGTTTACCTTTTTATTTTAGAGGCTCAGATCAAATTGCAGATAATTCAATACATTACTTTTAGAAAAAAGTTACACTTCAGATTATGCAGACCGACACTCTCTTTCATGAGTAGGAAATGTAACTTTTCTCTCTCAATTTAAAACGGATTGCATTGAATTTGGGCTTGATTGATTCCTTAAAGTGCCAGCTTAAGGACTCTTCTCCTTATTTTGTATTTAAACAGCTAGATAATTAGTTATTAACTATAATTTCTCACAATAGAGAAGTTGGTAAAGTAGAAACTCCGGCTAATATACTGAAACCCCTTAAGTGTGATAAGACCTACACAGTCAAATTGGCATAAGGTGCACAGTGCACAGTGCACAATAACATTGGTTGGTATATCTATATGTATAAAAACGTAAAGCACAACGCGCTTTGCATTATGTATATAGGTATATCAACCACTGTTATTCTTGTGCACTGTGCACTGTGCACCTTATGTCAATTTGACTGCGTAGGCCTTTACTGCCATAACTAAGAGCGCTGACAGTAAGCTTACAATGATAACCCTGATCTTGTTTGCGATCGCTAATTTTTTGAATAAAATGAAAACGTATAATACATTTACATGAGTTTTTTTCTGTTATTTTTTAGAATCATTTGTTAATTTTACTGTACTTTTTACACTTACACCGTAATTTTTCCAATAGCTGTTGTCCAATGAAGCTTCATGGTTAGATTTTACAAGTGACTTCGTGCTAACTTTTTTAAATGTTGACATAATCTACGAATGTCTTGTGAATATTTTAGAAGCAATCTTAACTTAATCTTTCAATCGTTATATACAACAAATGTTAGGTTCAACAGTTCCAAGGATGTTATGAGTAAGGTTTAAATATATTCTTGTAAACTGTCACACAAATGGGCACGATTGGATATCCTACTGATTAATCGATATCAATAGACTAACGAAAAGAAATAACTTCCACGATAAACTTACTACAACGCACCAGTAACTATTTAATTTGGACAATTCAGCAATTTTTTTCTGGTTAAAGTGAACAAGTAAGTCTAACAAAGTATAAGAAATAATAAGGCCGTACTACTTCAAGACCATCCGCAATCGCTATGAGCTGTCACTAGGCCAAGAGCTGAGGTCCGAAAGTGGTCCAAAGTCTGAAACAGCTGCAACGCTTACCAACATAATGATACCTAATTATGTAATAATTTAATCACATACTAAAGTCGTATTTTATTCTGGTGTAATTATGCGGCAACCATAGTAATGCCACCTAGTCAATTTTAGAAACCAGCCGCAACTTGAACTACCCGATGACATACGAATGGTTCTTCAGTAAAATGCTATTAGCAGCATGAAATAAAAATTTTTTCTCAAAAATTGACCTTTAAAACAATAGACGCATGGTCGATTTTAGAGTAGTAGAGAAATTAAAATCTGGCCGCAAATGGCACTTATGGAGTAAATTTCATTAAAAATTTCTTATTTTCTATCCGTTGGTCTAATTGAGGGCTGGATCATAAAATCGACCACATTGCTCTATCTTGGCTATCACATCTAGTAATTTTAAATCCTGTTTTTACCTTTTTACTACTCCACTGAAATATTTTCAAGCAATGTCAACGATCTCTTGAGGTTGAGGGTTGAGGAATCGAAAACAAATAGAATGTATCAATTGCCTCGATTAAAAGGGTTCGATATCTGGCTAAAGTCAGCATTTCTTTCGATAATCGATATCTCGTTTGAGTAAGCATTTCTTTCGATAGTCCCTATAAAATAACCAAAAATAACTATAATGCGCATGCGTAGAAGTTATCGACATCAGTCAATAACAATATCGACATTCGACAAAAATGCTTACTTAAGCGTTAAGCGACATATCGATAGCCGTGATACAGCCCCTGTCTATACATTTGCTCTTTTTATCGTGTTAACGCTTCCGCTTACAGATGAATCGGTGGCTTGCCTACTCGGCGATGAGATATAGTTCCTGCCAGATTTGGGAATTCACTAGGAGCCAACCTCTCTGACGTGGAACATCACTTGATCAAAAAAAATATAGTACCGAAGGTGACGTGCGAGATTTAAATAAGGTCCAATAACACAAGCATCCCTCACCAAATGACCCGGTGTGCTTACTGGCTACTCTGTTCAATAAATGATTATTAATAACACAAGTGCCTATCACCTCATGACCCGGGGCGCTTACTGGCAACTCTGTTAAATAAATAATTATTTATACCACAAGTGCCTATCACCCAATCACCCGGGGCACTTACTGGCCACTCTGTTATATAAATACGAGGTATTAATAACACAAGCGCCTATCACTCAGTGACTTGGGGCGCTTACGGGCCACTCTGTTGAATAAATATATATTAATAATGTAACGGCGATTTTTGTTTATTAGTATTATTTTAATTTTATTAGTGCTTTATGCACGCATAGAAAGCCGCCGCATGCAAGCGTGCCTTTATTCTTGTATGCCTCTAGATAAAGTGCGCTGGTTTGAAAAATCATGCCTTTATGTTAGATGGCGGACAAAAAATAAAATAATAATTTTGGGCGCCCTCTATGCTAAGTGCCCAATGAGCGCATAGAGGTGCGTCAGTCTGCGCAGCTCAACGGAAGGATAGACTTCTCGTTGTTTTGTTTTTAAAAGAGCATTTTCGTTCTTTGTATTTTAAAAAAGACGCGTGCACGTGCCCGAGTATTTAATACTTCGGTAACCAATTCTTACGAGGATTGTATCTCGGAAGATCACCTCATTTTTTGTTTCCAGACCCATTGTGGTCAATAACAGTTCTTGCGATTTAATTATTTTATTAAAGGCCGACGCGCCAATTAAATTTTATCCGTTCAGTTTATTTTTGTCAGAGTAGTGGGCTCGGAGATGACGGTAGGCACTCGCGAAGGAAAAGGCACAAAAGATTTAATCTCACAATGTATTATAAACACGTAATACAGCAAGGTCAGCTTTAGGCTGATACAGTAAAAGTAATATAACAGCTGTAAATTGGCGATCAAGAAGAGAGACAGTGTATCGGTCGGCTGCCGAAGAAGCAGTGGGACTAGTGAGCGTCGCCAGACGACCACGAAGAGCTCAAGTGACTGTAGTGCCCGATGTCTCCATAAGGCGGCGCATGTGTGAGCAAGCCGGGAATTTTGATTGCTCAAAGCTCACTTTCTTGACACTCCCTCCCTTTGAGTCAATCTAGAATTTCGTCTGAGATCCAATCAACTCTGAAAGTTACATCTGAAGATTGATTTTACTCTAAAGTTATGATTCGGTGGTCTCAATGGAATCATTGTCTTCCTGGTTTGACATATCTGAAATAAATATAAGTAGTTACAATGAGCGATTCGTGTAATTGTAAGTCGATCATTGAATACTTAGTATTTTATCTCTGAGGTAATTGTGGCTTTCTGTGGGCAACGGTTTTGTCATTATATCGGCTTCATTCTCTGAAGACGAGATCCACTGAACTTTAACTTTGTCTTGTTGCACACAGAATTTAATAAAATCTCCATGAGTATTTGCCATGTGGCTCTTTGAACCCGTGGTTTCTCTCTCTTTTAATTGACTCTGAATTGTCTTTATGTCATCGTCGAAATTTTTCAATCTATGACAACCATCCATTTGGGTGCATTTTATTGCTGATTGATTGTCACACCAAATTGTGACTGGGTATAAAGTTTTTCCTATCATGTTTCTGATCGCCTTGTCCAGAGAAATCAATTCTTGACAAGCATCGCTCATAGCTAAATATTCAGCTTGACAAGTAGAGAGAGTTACATACGATTGTTTGTGGCTTCTCCAGTTTATAGTGTCTCCAAAAAGCTTTATAATAAAACCTCCTGTTGTTGAAGAATCCTCCAAGTCTCTGAAGCTGGTATCAGTCATGGCATATAGGTTATCTTCTTTTCCTCTGAATATCAAACTCATATCTAAAGTACCTCTGATGTATCTGAACACTCTTTTGACATCTTTCCAATCATTTTCAGTGGGTTCCAATTGTCTTCTAGATAGGTAATTAACTGCAAATGAAATGTCTGGTCTGGTAGCTCCTGCCAGATAGAGAAGACTTCCAATTGCCTCTCGATATGGAGCTTTTGTCCGCTGCGCTACTCCTGCAGTAGTAAGCTCTGAATTTTTAAGTTCTCTATTCTTTACTTGTCTAGTTACCATTGGAGTTCTCTGAGGTTTGCTATCAAGCATGTTGAATCTTTCCAAAATTTTCTTCGTGTATTCTGATTGGGAAAGTGTTAAAATTCTTTGACTTCGGTCTCTGGAAATTTTTATACCTAGAAACTGTTTTGGTTCTCCCAAATCTTTCATCTGAAATGTTGTACAGAGTTTAGATTTGATTGCCATTAATCTACTTGCGTCATTTCCAGCTAACAGGATATCATCTACATACAG